GGCTTTTAGGGCGCTACGCGCCCATCTTCTATTTCAACTTTTAATTGTGGCTTTATCTCTGAGCATCTTCTCTTTGTACAGTAAAAAACAAAAACAAACAAGTTTGTGGATTTAATAATATTTCTGGGAGGCACACTTGTCCGGGTATTAATATTTATACTGCTTTCTTCACAGTATACAGTTAAGCAGGGGACTCCAAGAGTTGTTGGTTTGTTTGGGTTGTAGCAGGGGAAGGGGGGGGGGGTCAAATCCAAGGGGAAATGTTACTCTAAGACCGTGAAAATTCAATGTTTTCGTTCATAAAAAGCCAATTTTGACTTTATCAAATTCAACAAACAAAATTTTAGGCAATACTTTTGTTGGTCATGTTATTCGCTATAGATATCATAGAAACTCTAGGTTTGTTATATTTGCAATCAATTTTTAATCAAAATGAATTCTTCTATTTATCATTTTCTAGGAATTTAAGAAAAATAACGAAATATACTAAACATTAATCTGAAACATTAATAGAAATTAAATTTGTCGTTAATTTCTGTTAAAAATCAGTCTCAGTGTAAATTGACGATTTATAAACACATTGAACATTTGACATGGATTTAAGAAACCAGTCTTGAAAAATGAAAAATGCGTTGCAGAGGTCGGACAGTGGTCGGGAAGTTGTAAGGCAGTGGTCGGGCAGAAGTCAGGCAGAGGTAGGCCTAAGATCGGGCAATGGTCGGCCAAAGCTTAGGAAGTGTTCGGCCAGTGATTATGCAGAGGTCGGACTGCGTTTATAATCCCTTGTTATTATGATTTATGTAAACCCTGCAATGACAAATTTAAACTTTTTATTTTTATTTCTTTGTTTCTAGTGCAGTATTTAATTGTTTAAGGTCCCTGTAGTAAACTTAAACTAAACAGACAAAATATATTCTTCCCTTGAGACGCAGTTTTATTTTATTTATCTTTTTTCACAATTTATTCTTAAAGGGATTGTAAACGTAATTTTTAGTTGAGTCTTAGAAGCTTTGTCTAATTAAGAATGAATGAGATATTCTTGGTATCTCTTAAAAAATTTGGTTACTTTCTATTGAAGCTTATCTATAAATGACTTATGGATTTCTTGCTAGAGTAACAATGGAGAACATAGTGAAAATTAAAGACGATATCTTTTATATTACAATTAACAACAGTTACTCTAGGTTAAAAACAATATATTTCACTGTTTAAATCCAGTTCAGATTTGCTTCCTTAATTTATTTTCACAGTTTTTTAAACAAAATTAAAATACAATACTTTTATATTAATGGTCACATCAAATTATATCCATCTCATCAAATAAAAAAGTTATCCTTAAAATGAATTTTAAAAAGTAACAAAAAGTTTGCAGTTTTATTTCTTTTGCGTATGATAACAGCTGCCAATGACACAAAATCTATATTAAAGATTGCCAGGGTTTGATAAAATATACATAAGTGTGAAAAGATATATGCTAACTTCAAAACAGAAATTAAACAGTTACAATTATTTTGCAATTTTAAAAAAAGTATCAGGAAGAAGTGGAAAATAATTTGGAATGTTTTTTTTTTTTTTTTAAGTCCTTCGCAACCACTGTTCTTGTAATATTTTAAACTTTTAAATGTTTCTTTTTCTAAAGTAACAATTTTTTGTGGATTTTTCTGTTTCTTATCGTCAGGTCATTTTGGGTGCTGCTAAAATTGTTGACCCAATCGGTTTTGACGTTCTCTGGGCAAAAACAAATAGGCAGTCAAGAATTTTTTTCATTTTCAAATTCTTGATGTTTTAAACATATTTTAAGAATTTTTTTTTCCAGTAATACAATAAATAATACTATAACAGAGAAAATATATTATGAAACACGTGTTAGGGTATCACACATAAGTTTAAAAAATACATATTTGTTTGCAACAATATGTATAATAAAACATATGCGATATATTTTAATATAACTAAACAAGCAGAGTTTACTACTCTACATAAATATACAATTTTATTACAATTTAAGACTTTTTAAATCAAGCTAAATCAAGTAACACCAAGATACCGAATTCCCCAATTAAATTTTGAGACAAGTTGGTCGAGAGGTTCTAGATCTATGATCAGACATACAAATTAATAAACAAGCAGAGTATGCTATTTCTCATGTATATCCTAAATACCAAGGAGAATTGAATAGAAGGAGGGGCGATAGGGTTTCCGTACACTTTGCTGTGACGTTTTTGGACTGGTGAAGAACTAGTTTTTGCGTAACAACAATAATAAAGATTGTAAACAATAAAACAAATGATAAACAAACATCTGGCATTTCTGGCGTTGGATGAAAATTCATCGTATACTAACTCATGTTTGTTTACATTAGATCGGCTGCCTTTGTTATTGTTGTTACGAATAAACTAATTCTTCAGCAGTCCAAAAACGTCACAGCAAAGTGTACGGAAACCCTATCGCCCCCTCCTTCTATTCAATTCTCCTTGCTAAATACTAGCGTGGAAACCAAGCTTTGTCTGGAAACTTAACCCTATCCCCGCTGGGGTACTTGAAAACCAGGATACGCTGGGGGGGGTCAATTTGACCCCCCCCTCTAAATCCCATGTTTTATGTCCAAATATGACAAATGATACATCATTAGAAAGCTCTTGTGCTCTACTTTTAGAATCTGCAAAAAAATTTGCAAATTTGCGAAAATTGAATTTTTTATCGCAAAATCCAGTTCTATAGTAAAAATGTTTGCAAAAAAAAATTTGTCCAAAAAATGACAAATTATACATTTTTGAAAAGCCCTTGACCATGCCATTTCAAATATGCAAAAATTTTTGCAAAATTTTAAATAACCTGATTTTTAATCAAGAAAAACTAAAAATGTGCAAATTTCCTTTGACAGGTTTTTTGCAAAAAATTTGCAATTTTTTTTTCGCAAAACTTGTGCAATCCGTTTCCTTATGTCATAGGCTTTCCAAAAAGCTAAATTTTATCAAAATCTGAAAAGTGAAAGTGGGTCAAAACAAAGATTTAGTTTGCTACAGGCAAAAGCAGTCATTCAGGCAGTGTGCCTGAGGACTCAGGCAGTTAGTATTAAAGCCCGGTTTTAGGCCTAAAGGGAGGGCTTTGGGTATGTAAGAAAAGTCAGAAAATTTCAACAGCCTCAGACCAATACTTTTTGAGTTATGTAACCCCCCCCCAGCGGGAATAGGGTTAAATATCTAATTAGAAGAGAATCCACTTAACTTTTAATCCCTGCTAAATAAAGATACCGAGTTCCCCATTCAAAATTTGTGGCAAATTGGTCAAGATGTTCTTTATTTATGATACAAACAAGCAAATTTTATTACTTTTATTATTAGAAGATTGCAGATTAAAATGAAGGAAGAGAAAGATGAGAAGAATGAGAAGAATGAGAAGAATGAGAAGGATGAAACCTTCAGTTTAATATTTCTCCACGGAGTTGGTGGAACAGGAGAGGGATGGGTCGATCTGTTACAAAGAATAAGTAAGTAAACAAATCAACGAAAAAAAAGAAAAAGAAAAAAATTTGCTACCGTTACCGTTGTTGCGTATTTTAAACTTAGACTATTTTATCTATAATAATTCATATAATTCATATATCGGCATGCAAATATATATGAGTTAGAAAATCAGAGTTTTGGGGCAAAACTCATTTCTTTTCAAGGAAAAGAAATTGAGTACTCGCCACATATTTTATTTTTGTTATTCCTATACCTAGGAAACTTGATGTCGTAGAACTTTGATATTTCAAGCTATAAAATTTGTTAGATATAATAATCTAAGTTTGAAATATCGAATGTTTACACAGACGGGGTTTTTTGAATTATTTCAGAAAAGCAGTTTACTTTGTAGATTCACCTTTAACAAAGTTTAATTTAACAAAAAAAAAATTACAACAGTATTAGTAAAATATCATTTTTAATAGGTCCTGAGAAAACTAAGCTTATCTACCCTACAGCCCCTGTAGGAGCAGTAACTATTTATGGAGATCAGTATATGCCTTCATGGTAACTATTTATGGTAACCAGTATATGCCTTCATGGTAACTATTTATGGAGATCAGTATATGCCTTCATGGTAACTATTTATGGAGATCAGTATATGCCTTCATGGTAACTATTTATGGAGATCAGTATATGCCTTCATGGTAACTATTTATGGTAACCAGTATATGCCTTCATGGTAACTATTTATGGAGATCAGTATATGCTTTAATGGTAACTATTTATGGAGATCAGTATATGCCTTCATGGTAACTTTTTATGGTATCCAGTATATGCCTTTATAGTAACTATTTACGGAGATCAGTATATGCCTTCATGGTAACTATTTATGGTAACCAGTATATGCCTTCATGGTAACTATTCATGGAGATCAGTATATGCCTTCGTGGTAACTATTAGTGGTAACCAGTATATGCCTTCATGGTAACTATTTATGGTAACCAGTATATGCCTTCTTTGTAATTATTTATGGAGATCAGTAGATGCATTCATGGTAACTATTTATGGTAATCAGTATATGCCTTCATGGTAACTATTTATGGTAACCAGTATATGCCTTCATAGTAATTATTTATGGAGATCAGTATATGCCTTCATGGTAACTATTCATGGAGATCAGTATATGCCTTCGTGGTAACTATTTATGGTAACCAGTATATGCCTTCAGTATATGCCTTCATGGTAACTATTTATGGTAACCAGTATATGCCTTCATGGTAGCTTTATACATTATAAGATTTTAACCTATTCAACAAAAAAACCTTTAACAGAATAAAAACTCCTCAAAAGTCAAAACAGTTTTTTCATTTTTTTTTCAAATGTTTTGACAAAGTATCTATCTAACAGCTATTGGATGATAGAACTATTTCATATATTATTTTCACATTTTCTTAGTACAAAATATTCTTGAGAAAATTACAGTTTTATATTAACTTAAAGAGAATTATTAAAAAGTAATCTTTTCCTCTGCATTTTGTCTTTATTATTCAGGAACACTATCCTCAATTACCATAATTAAGTAATCTATCCAAAGTTAAATATAATATTAACGACAATTGTTCTTAACGTATTTTCATTATTTGCTTTTGTCTCTCTTTCCTCTCTTTATAAACAATTATTTTATCTTTTAATTATTTTTTTACATTCAAGCTTTATTTTCCGCAAATTCTTAAGCAATACATATATATATAAATAGTGTAATAAGTAACTAAATTATTGTGTTCTTTAGTGCCAATTTTCGACGAAAATATCGAAAAAACAATAAAACTGTTCAGAAGCATTTAAATCAAAGAATGTGAGCAAAATCTTCATTTCAATCTTTTTTCATTTTCTAATGACATGTATTCGAAATAAAATAAATGTATTTTGGTTAGATTTAACTACGTGTATGCAGTTACAAAATAGTTTAGAATTTAAATTAAGGAAGATTCAACTATGTAATATCAAGAATAAATACAATAAGAACGGTTTTTCAAGAGTTTTAAATGTACCTGAGATAATTCTTAAAGTATTCCTTGAACAGTCTTTTTTGAATTTTGAGAAAAATCAATTTTTACAAGAACATAAACACGCACTTCCTTTAAAAATGTTCTGCCAATTTGGTTTAGCCGTTTAGCCAGATATAGCTAACACATATATACATATATGAGGATGTAAATCAAGCTTGATTGATTGATTAATAAATTATTGATTATATATATAAATATATATATACTAGGCTTTATGGGCGCTTCGCGCCAATCTTCTTTTTTAACTTTTAATTATGGCTTTAGCTGTGAGCATCTTCTCTTTGTACAGTAAAAAACAAAAACAAACAAGTTTGTGGATTTAATAATATTTTTTTGTGCATTTTCAAAATTTTGCAAAAATAAAAAACATTAAGCACAAATTTTTGAAAATTCTATCATCCATAAACCTTCTCTGGGGTCAAGCGAGGTCCCACACAAAATTTGGGCCCGAATGGTTCAGCCCCTTTGTCGTTTTTTGAATACATCCAAACAGACAAACACCCACCCACACAAGCTAAATTCTTTTAAAGATATATATATTTACATATATGAGCGAAAAGCTTTATTATATAGATAGTAACCATGATAATAACCATCTATTAATTTAAAAATCTTTATGTTCATTTCTAAATATAATGATTATTTCTGTATGCATTTAATTACTATTAATCATTTTATTAAAATTTCGAACATGCGTTAAGTAATTTCTGAGCAAACATGAGTTTTCCTACCTTTAGACTGCACTAAACTTATTCAAAAGCTAAATTTGTTATTCGGTAACTAGTTCACTCTGATGATACTTGATAATATTCGGAAACTAGTTTACTCTGATGATACTTGATAATATTCGGAAACTAGTTCACTCTGATGATACTTGATAATATTCGGAAACTAGTTCACTCTGATGATACTTGATAATATTCGGAAAAGTAGTGATCTATCTTCATTTTAAGCACGTGTGAGCTTATTTCCGAATTAGTCAATTCTTAGTTCATTTGAAAAGAAACAAACAAAATCTGCATGCAATTTACAAACTATTTTTAAGCACATTTCAAGGCTATAAGAAGTCAATATAGACAAAATAATACTTTACCCATGTCATGGGATATAAAACTTTTTATAATCTTGTTTTTATTCAATATAGGTGTAGTGCTGCAACTGTTAAGAATCCCATAGTTATGTAAAATGATTAATTTTAATTAACAATTATTATTCAATGTGTGCTCTTTACTCTATATTTTTTTGGTGTGTTTACAAATTAAAGAATTTCTATTTAAAACACAACATGGACATTATAAAAAATTGCCATAATTACAAAATGTTAATTATTCTTATAGTTTGACAAAGGTTGGATAATACTTCTGAAAGGGATTGTATAAGAATAATTTCAAGTGACCCTCAAGGCAAAGATGGCAATACAAGATTCACAACGGTACCATTAAAACCTTTATCGAATAAAAATGTGGAAGATATTGTCATTTTTCTAGATTAAAAAGTGTATTTTTATTCTTATCATTTCTATATGTTTTCATGCAGCAGAAATGTTCAGGTCACTTTTGTAGAGAACCCATAATTAAAATAATAAGCTTACACAATTATAAACATTAATTTCTAATTCATTGTAAGGGTACCGTTGTAAATTGAGCCTTGTCTTCTTTGCATCACGCTTACAGTACCTCTAAATTTTTTTTTTAAGGTTTAACATGATCGATTCGAAGACGATAAATGTTTTTGAACTAAAAGAATCAGCAATTTTTGTGCACAGTATAGTTGAAAAGGTAAAAATTCTTTATTTATCTTTATTTTATATACAGAATTAATTTTATGAGTAAAATTCTAGAATTTATAATCACAAATACCCCTTGTCCTTACATTTCCAAAATGTGGTCTGCCTTTTATTGTGCTGTCAACATTAAACCATCGATATATGAAGGATTTTGTTCAGATTTGATCAATTTTGGTTTTAATTGAAACTGTCAAATTTCGGAGAACACCCTGCATACAATCATTCAAGTAAAAGTAAATGATACGTTAAATTGAGATCTTGCGTTAAAAGTTTTCAATTATTACTCATCTTATTGTAAAGCCATATATGTTTTGAAATTTTTATTTGTAAACTTTAAAAAGATTTGCTTTTCTCATTCTTGTGGTGGATATAAAAACTAGAAGACTACTAGGTCACAAAGTCGTACCAACAATGTTGCATACATTTGACTATCTCCTTCTTTCTAGTGGATTGCGTCCAAGTTGGCATTTTATTTTTAAATGGAGTTGCTTTTAAACTATTAAAAAATTTAGGAAATCAAGAAAGGAAGACGACCTGAAAACATCATCATCGGTGGATTTTCTCAAGGTGAGATTAAACACCAGTTTGCACAAAAAAAGCATTTTTTATGGCTTTCTCATTTTTTAGACTATGATTCTTAAGCTAACAATGAAAAAAGGTATTCAGCCGCTGAATTCCCACCGTCTTAGTGGAGAAGGGATTCCCCGAACGTCATGAGCCTCCACTGTGCAGAAACGAGCCTAACAGATTTGCCAGGCAGACCGGGCCTCCACTATGCAGACGAAGCCTACGCTATGCAGACCGTGCCTCCTCTATATGCTGTAAACGAGTCTCCACCATACAGCACAGCTTTTTTTAAATCTTGGTTTTTATGTGGTCTATAGGATTTATACTAAAACTTAAAACATTTCTTACGCAGAAAGAAAGATATTTGGAGAAACATTTCTCGAGTAATCTCAGTTTGTTTTGTTGTTTTGATTTAAACAATGGCTTTTTCTGAAAAATGTTAAGATTTAAATAAATGATACAAATTTCCTAGACTTAATTTAAACTTCAAAAAAAGGTATTGCTTATATCAAAGATTATCAAAGATGAAATAAAAATCAATGAAAATATTTTTCTCTAAATATTTTCCTTTTCATGTAAATTTTTTTTATTGTTTTATAAACCACTATATTAGTCATAAATAGGCACTATATTTATGATAATTGATAAATACTTCTCATCTTTGAGAAACCTCTCATGATACTATGTCGAAATATTTGTGAAAAAATCTTTTATTTAAACTTAAAACATAAGTTTAAAAAAACCTCTTGTATTACACAGGCACATTTTGATGTATTGCACATGCTCATTACTGCATAGCGGAGGCTCGGTCTGCCTAGCAAATGTGGGAGGCTCGCGTCTGCATAGCGGAGGCTCATATCCAACACAAAAATGCCCAGTTTTGGGACTAGATTGAATGAATAGGAATAAAAGCTGAACCACGCACATGTAGTTTAACCACTTCAAGTTGAAGAAAAGTAGTCTAAGCATGTCTACGCTGTTCAACCATGTCCATGTATCGCAATTTATATAATCGGGTCCTTTAATCTTAATTTAATTGTACTTTAAATATCCTTTAAATATGATTCTGATTATGTGAATTGCGCAGGTGCCGCGTTAAGTTTGTATTCTGTGCTCACATGTCGAAGACGACTTGGCGGACTTTTTGTTCTTTCAGGTACTAGCAACCAATATCTAAATAAAATGTATTGTTATTTTTCAAACTCGGGATCAGACTTTCAGGAAGAAAGGTGTTTTTTTTATTGGAAAAATTCTCAAGGTTTTTTTTATTTATTTTTTAAATATGAGGTATTCAAAATAAGGAAGAGATTTAAAAATGTTTCCTAGTACTAAATTATTCATCACGTACAAATACTTTTTCCAAAAAATAAATATTTCATTCTGAATTTTTAAAGGTTGGCACCCCGCACCTTGGGAGTTTGCAGAGTCGTGTGCCCCCTCTCCCAGCCACGCCCTTCCAAACTGCCACACCCCCACACTCATCTGCCACGGGAATAATGACACAAAGGTGAATATTGATGGAACTTTAAAGTGGCCCGCCTCCATTTATAAAGTTTGATAATTTTCATTTTTATTTGTGTCTTTATGCGGCAGAGAGAATTAATGAAATTAACAAAATTTAATACATTCAAAGATAGAAACACGACATATCTCATTGTTGCTCAGATAAAGGTGTAAAGCTAGAGATACCGCAAAAAATCGAGCTTAAAACCCTGATCTTGGGAAGTTACTTGAAATTACGCACAAAGTCCCTTTAAACTGTTATCCTGGAACTGATCACGTGTAAGTTTTCTTTCTAAACTGAGCAAATATGGATTCTTTTTCACTTCTCTGTCCGATCCTGAGAAGTTTTAAAGTTTAAAGAGTATTTTCATTAGTGATGTACTTCATAACTAGATTGAATGTTTTATGTTTGATCAAAACAAAGAAATTGAACACTTGTCAAAAATTGTGCAGAAATAAGTGTTTTAGGTAAGTGTTCAGTTTATTATAAGATGATAAGGAAATAATTTAATTGATAAGTTATCTTTAAACTAGGTACCTCTAGAGATAAGTTATCTTTAAACTAGGTACCTGTAGAGATAAGTTATCTTTAAACTAGGTACCTCTAGGGATAAGTTATCTTTAAACTAGGTACCTCTAGAGATAAGTTATCTTTAAACTAGGTACCTCTAGGGATAAGTTATCTTTAAACTAGGTACCTCTAGAGATAAGTTATCTTTAAACTAGGTACCTCTAGGGATAAGTTATCTTTAAACTAGGTACCTCTAGAGTGGGGAAGGAATTGTGAAAAAAGTTTGCTCAGTTTTATGACTCAGTTGGAGTTCAAGGTACTTGTTAAAAAGTTAAATTAATTTTATTTTGTATCTATTTTTTGTTCTCTTTACGCAAAAAAATGTTTTTTAATTAAATGGATGTGTCATGGTTAATATTTTCAAAATAAATATTATGATTTCTAACCCCTAAAGTATCATTTTTTTAAAGTTGGACTAGAGACAGGTATTACACTCCCCATCTCAACTTTAAAGGCATTGCACAAAATGTAGATTGAGAAAAATATTTCAGGAAAAATTTGTATCAATTCATGAAAACAAATAATTCGTTGTTAATGTAATTTTTAAAAAAGTTTTTTTTTCGCGGAATTTATCTCAAACTGAACTCTTGCCGCAAACTCCAATTTTACAACCTGATTGGTTAAACCGTTGATATCCCAAACTCTGCATATTTGATCTAAAGCAGAATTTTCTTAGTTTGCAATATAAAAGGAGATTCTGTTTGAGAACAAATTTTTAAAAATAGCGCACAACTTGATCTGTAGATAGCTAACTTATCTAAATAAATTCAAAATTTATCTTGTTGCTGCAACAACAAAAATTCATATTGGTGCCGCTGTTGCAATATTTATGATATTAGAAGAATTATACAAATTGTGTGCACTACTACTACTTCGCAATAGTTTACCAATAGTTTTGAATTTTCTCAAAAAAATACATTTTATTATTATTCAAATCAATTTTTAACAAAATTTTGCAAAACTCTCCTTAAATTGAGTTAAACGTGTTAGCGCGTGGAAAACCTATTCCTAAATTTCATTTTGTAAAAAAAACAACTTCAATTTAGTATTTTTGTCCCTAGGAGATTGATGGTCTAGGACATGAGGTGGATGACTCCATAGAACATGAGATTTCTCTTTTCCTCGCTAAAATAGCAAAACAAAATCTAGCATAAACTTCTCAAAATTTCGGAGAGGAATTGAGTTTTTGCCACAATCGCTGATTTTTTAGTCCCTATTTCTTTGCAATTTAATGCCCTAGATCTTTGATATTTTTAACTATGAATTATTAAAGCTCAAATAAGCTAAGTTTGAAATATTACATGTTTATAATATCAGCTTGAAAAGATATAGGGATTCAAATCTGCGGCAAAGACTCAATTCCAGCCTTTAATTGTCGTATTAAAAAAGGCGCACAGGAAGAATAAAGATATTATGATTTTGTTTGAAAAAACTCTAAATTTTATTGAGACTTTTTGTAAGCAACAAAGCTGAAAAAATTCCAGGCAACCTTAAATATTTTAACATGTTGAAAATGTCTAAACATACTTTTGTCTCTTTCTTATTTAAGTTATGGAAAGGCCTATTAAAATTTACATGAAAAATATCATATCTCGTAATCAAACTAAATATAACACTATTATTTTGGTGCACAGTGCCACAGTTTTAGAACAGGCATTGTTTGCGTTTCTAATCTAAAAAAAATGTAAGTCAAACAACTTTATAAACACTTGCCTTGATGCAACTCGGTTATTTCTAGATATAACAAGTTTTTTTTACAAAGCAGAAAAAAAGGTTTTAGTTTAAACATCTAAATATTATTTCGAAATTGTCTAAACAAATATTTTGAAAAAGGTAACCAATTAAACTCATAAAACAGTGCTTTAATATATGGCTAATTTAACATTTTAGCAAAATTATTAAGAAAAAGCAGTGCTACTATAATGTATATATGAGCAGTGCTACTATAATGTATATATGAGCAGTGCTACTATAATGTATATATGAGCATGATCTCAGCATTAAAGATAAAGAGCATAAAGAGCACAAGAGTTTCATAAAAATTTTATTTTACGAATAAAGTTTAGCTGTAAAATAAGTTTCATTTAAAATATTTCTTTGACTATTTATACCTTTCCACTATGTAACATACGTTTATATCATTAATCATTATATATTTTGGGTTGTTAATCGTTTTTAAAAACAATCGTTTTTCGTTTCGTTTAATTTTTTCCTAAAAACGATCGTTTCGTTTTTAGAAAAAGCTATCGTTTTTGAAAACGAACCACTTGTCTTGAACTTTCAAAAAACAAAAGAACGATCATTTTTGAAAAAAAATTGCTAATCAATCTGAGTTTTATGACAATTTATTAAACAAATTTACCAGGAAGATAAGGTTATGAATGTTGTGTTGAATGTTTGTTTTTTTATCGAGACCAATAACCTGAATGTTTTGTGACCTCGGCTTTTCAGACCAAAAAATGTATTTTCTCTTTATAAGGTCGTTAACGAAAGTTCTTCGCTAACGGTCGTTAACGAAGGGCCGGTTTTGATAACGATCGATTTTTTAAAAACAATCGTTTAAAAAAATGAAAAAGACCGTTTTTTAAAAACAAAATTTAGTTTAGTTTTTTCTTCATCGTTTTTAAAACGAAACGATCGTTTTTCCAAAAAGTGAAACAATCCATCCCAATACATATGTGCATAAAGTATACAATGGATAATGCATAACACATGTTTTATACAAAAGGTGAACAAGTGCTTTATAGATTCATATCTTTATGATTCATATGTATTATGTTTTGATGTGCACTTTATAACTAATACATATCTTCTTGTTTTTTTTTTATGAATAAATGAAAATTCTATGAAAAGTAATAATGATAAAAATAATGATGCAGCTTTGTATACACCAAAGCTGATACTAAATCTGACCCCACCCTCCATTTAAAGCTAACCATACACGATTCACAAAGGTATCCTTTTTGACAAGTAGAAAAACGCGTTTTACCCGATTCACGAAGGTACCCTTTAAAACTTTGTTCGATAAATTATTCGGACAATTTCGTGGCTTTTCTAGCTTAAAAACTGTTTGATTAAAAATACCCTCCATTGTTTCTGTACCATAAATTCCGCTAGTCATTTGAACAGAAAAACCCCAATTGGAAATAATCAATTTTGAGATAAAAAAAAAAAACATCTTTTTATCCTAGATCAGACAACGAACTAAAATCTAACGTAGATCGTCGTTTATTTTTGGCGAAGTATCACTGTGATCAATAAGTTTCACAAACATTTTCTGAGAGGTAGTTCTAGAAGTCTCAGCTCTCTAAAAAATATTTTAATTCACCATATTTATACTGGTTTTCCAAAAATGTTCTTAGTAAACGATGAAAAAACCAAACAGATCCCTTAAACATGACCCAGAACGTATTTTAACACGGTTTTAAGAACTTTAATGATAGTGTAATGGGGTTAATAAGGGGAAAAATAATATATTTGAAGGATTATTACTTGATCTTTCTTTTCTTTTGATCGTTCTTAAAGGGTCTAGAGCAGAATTTGTTGAATCAAGTTTAGAACCATTTTGAAATTTTTCTTGCTGTGACACTTTGGGAGAACGCTCCTTACAATTACTACAAAGATCTGATTGACATCAAAAATAATCCAGTATCAATAAAAGTGAAATTTAAAAAAAAATTTCAGGGCTGAGACTTCTACAAGTTCCCCTAATTTTTTTGGCGAAACTTATTGATCACACCGTGTACTTTTATGGTTGCTAAAACACTGAAACATGTCTGGTAAAGAAAAAAAAATTAACGGTAAAAACGTTAAGTAATTTTTAAAAATTAGTGAATTTCGTAATTTCATTTTTTTCTGCTTAAAGTTGCATTAACCTTGTAAAAAAAATGTGTTTTGATGTTTTTAAATATCGTCTTCTGTATTAAGAAGCTTAAATGCGGAGAACAGAGATAAGAGAGTTTCAGAGATCGATTAACACCAATTATGTGCGATTTTTTTCCACAGCTGCAGCATGTTCTACTGTGTACAAGTACTGTACACGCCCAATCAGGAGACTTCTGTATTAAGGGATATTTAATGATTCTTTGAATAGGAAATGTAAAATCTTTTAAAACAGACAATATTCATAAACTTTGTGTTTTTTGGTTAAAATTGGAGTATTGCTTTAAAAGTTGTAAATTATAACCCCTGAATGCAACAAATGGCCGTGAGAAGTCAGTCAAAAAACATTACATGGAACCGTATAGCATGTCGTGCCGAGACACTATAGGCCTACTCAGCCTGTCCAGGTAGAGTGTAAGAGCAGTCTGTGTAGTCTGTGGCTGAAAATATAATTTTAATCGCTAACACAATAATCTGGCATGTTATTTTGATTTTTAACACAGACTTATTTTGTGATATAATTCCATTAAATTTAGACATTGATTTGGTGAAAATGATTACTTTTATCGACATTATTTCTCACTTATTTTGAATGTTATAAATTTTACAACTAAATCTTATTATTTCAATTATTTCTTCATTGGGTTAATCTCTCGTAAATTTATTCAAGTCTGTTTAAATCTTAATATTTCAAATATTTATTCACTGGGTTAATCTCTCGTAAATTTATTCAAGTCTGTTTAAAATAACATGATATATTAAAGATCTAAATATAAATAAAACTTACACTGCACACTGTCACATGGTTGTATTGTGCACTGTCACAGAGTTGATTTGTAATATTTTAATTGGTTCTACTGCATCTTTATATAGTTTGTCTATAGAAATAAGGGAAGCAGAATTTTTTCTTTTGAAAATTTTTGTCAACAAGTAAAATCTAGTTTTATATTAAACATAGATCTTAATAAGTCTGGCATTGTTTTTATGCTTTGACCCTTTTTGTTTGTTTCGTGCTATTCACATGGAAAAATTCATGGTTCAGATTCAGATGTAGATTCAGAAAGTGTCATTTTTTTGAATAAACTAAAATTAAACCTTTCTGTTTGTCATATGGTTTTACTGTACACTGTCAAACTCATATGTTCGTACTGTTCACAATATTGTATTGTACATTTTCACTGCAGTGTGGTAATGTATGCTTGTTAGTATGTTAGTTTTTCTTTAATGTTTACCAGTGAAATAAAATAGTGAAAATAATTTCATCTTTATAAGCATTGACTGCTAAAAGAAAAATGAAGAGAATGTAGAGAAGGCAGGGAAATTGGAACACTTACGGCGTTTGACAAATTATTGTTTTAATGGTGAGAATTGCAGGTACCAAAGTTGGAAATAAACTGAGGTCGCAATGCTTTGTCTTAAGCAACATGCAATTAAAGTAAAATTTTCACCTAGGATTATTAACTTTAAGCATTTAAAAAGCGTCCCACATTTTAAAACTTAGGAATATTTTTTTTGTTATTTACTCTTCTTCAATCAAGGGGAATAATTAGGCATTAACTGCTATGCTGTTGACGACTTTTTAAACCGTTAATACTGTAATAAAACAATAATAATTTATTATACCGTTAACGGCTGAAGCTGTTAACAGTTTCTGATTTTTTTCCGTTAATGTCGTTAATAAAAGTTAACTAACGGTAATTTAAAAAAAAACCGGAAAATGCCGTTAACGGAACGAACGTTCCGTTCTTACCTTAAAATTAACAGCTAACTGAAATTTTTATTTTTTAATGTTTGGATCTAACCGTTAACGAAACCGCTAGAAAAAGTTGGAACGTGTCCAGCTCTACTTATGAACTGTAACACGTAGATTTGATTCTGTCTCTCCGAAACATAGTTGAGTTGCAAAATTTGGCGCATTATGTAAATTTTTAGATAGGGTAACATTGAAATTTATTTGTCTTCAGTTTCAATCTTAAAGAATACACTTTTATTACTTGATAATTTTTACTTTTAAATTGACTTTTGTTGCTTAATAAACCAAAATCCATTAACTCTTCACAGTGCATATCAGAATTAGTAAAAATGAAAAAATATATATGAAATCGAGTTAAATGCCTAAATTTCAAGTATTCATATATTCAATTGATTATATTTTGTTTTCTTATGAAATATAATGATGCTGTATAGAAAACTGCAGCTGATTACCCATAAAAGATGAGTCTTTTCAAATGACCCATGGTGATACCCTTATAATTTATGTAGAATAGGAAATTAGGAAATTTGGCAGAAATTTCCAGAGATCCTTCTTCAAACTCCCCAAATTCCCCGGGACTAGGAAACTGGAAAATTCTCCATAAAGAAATTCCCA